CCCCGCCTGCACTACCTCATGAAAAAGAGAAAATTTTTCATATTTTGCAAAATTAAAAGCGACCATTGCACGGAGTAGGAAATGCTTCCAAATATCTGATTCATTATTTAAATGGTTTATTTGAACAACGTTTGACGAAGCGGTGCTTCCGATGCGACTTCGCGTTTAAAACGTCTTTACGGCGACAGCGACGGTACTGTACACAGTAGTTTGGAACTTTTTCCTCAATAGAGCCAAGTAACTAACGAACCCAATTAGCTTTAATGTTGCTTCAAACTAGCATGCACTGCTAAAGGCCAGAAGCCCGCGAATATGCTTAGAAAGTTCGGTGAATAATAAAATATTGTAAGCTTTTGTTGAATGGAATCAAAATGAGCAATGACATATTGATTTCCTGAGTCTATTCAACAAATCCGAAGTTTTAAACTTCATTCAAGAGTTCAAGATAAAAGCCTTTCTCGCAAATTTTCTATCAAGTCTAAACCTTTTAATAGCTGATGGATAAAACAGTAAACAGTGTAAAATATGTTTATATTCTTGCAATCTCTACTGAACAATGAAACCAATGGATTTCCAATTAAATTTCATATAAATCAATAACTTTCTCTTCATAATGAGTGAAATAGGGTTAATAAACTTTAAAAGTTTTAACAATAAGGATGCATTATTAAATTATTATTTCAGTTTACAACAAGGTTGAGGCGTCAACGGTAGTGCATTGCCGAACGCTATTCTTAGCTTAATACCAGTAACATCACGATAATCGTTAGAAGGCTCCTTGTACCATAGAAATCATCTAGACTTCACCATTAATGTTTCCAATTCATTTCTGAGGCAACAATGAGATGAGCTTAAGTGGCTCCACCAAAAAGCTCTGCCATTTCACGGAAAGCTGTTTCGAGATGACCGCGGAATATCGCAGAATCCTGAAAAAATTGTGATGCTCATCTGGCGCAAAAGTTAGGGAGAAAGACTAGGTTTTACCGTATTCTCTGCTGACTTGTAGCTGCTGATGTGAGCTAGGATAGTGTGGTTACCACCAAATCGGTAACAAACTCCTTAAAAAATGTATGCATGCCAAATACTTGTTATTATAGAGATATGCAAAACATACCGTAACCCGTTTTTGCTACTGCTCCGAAACATGCTCCACTCCAAGTTCTCCATGGTTCCACATCTTCATCTATCTGGTTTGTTACATTTGGGACCTGTGAAAAAAAACTTTCTCAGACCCTAATGGTGAGCTAGCTTGAACTTAAATTTCCAGTTATGAACGGATCATCAACTCTTTCGATTACGGTAGGATTACGGTGTGAAGTTGTTTGTTGCGTTGGCGTGAGGCATATGGCATTGGACCAGAGGTGTGTCCAACAATGTTAACATGACTGGTAAGTTTATTTGAAAGGCTGAGCTCGATTGTGATATCACAGGATTGTACCGAAGCTACGTTAAGGTACGCTTTACATACAACTACAAATCCTAATGATACAGTAGGGAAGGAGATGCAAGATCCATCTGTAAGGAGAAATATGAGTTCAAACTGATTATTCAAAATAAATCAGTGTTTAGAAGAGATTTGGAAATTTAAAAAGATTTGTGGCCAACAAGAACATCCTTGAGTCTATTTTAACCCCAAACTCACATGTGACGTAGACAGTAACCACTTCTGAGCGATGTAGTGGTCGAGGAATGGACTAGAGATGAGGGTACCTTGAGAAAGTACGTACAGGACGAAGAGATGCCGATCAACGCCACCTCCTACCTGAAAAGGATAGTAGATAACGAGAAGAATAAACTGCACAAAATGGATTTTCGCTCAAAGATCTTTATCTCAATAAAATAATTACAATAGTGTAAGTGAAAAGAATACAGTACCGTCACTGCCGGTTTGACAATTTGCTATAAAAGACGCAATGTCGCGTCGGAAGTGCCGGATCGCTATAACTCGGCTCAAACTGCTTCAATCAAAATTTCATTTAGATTCTTTGATTGAGCTTCTTTCAATCTATAAGGTGTGTTTTTGAAAATCTGAATTTCCTCAATTTTTGTAATTCATGTGATGTCACGAATAGCTGGTGCCACCTCCGCTGCTGACAGCTCAAGAGCCCGAGTGAGTCTCTCCTGATTATATCCTTAGGTCCTAATGACTCCCATGAACACCAGTTACAAAATTCAGAACGATTTTGATAGATAGAATTTTTTGGACTAGGATAGTGACTACTGTCTCTCAAGTTCAGAAGTCTTGCTAATTCTTATTAAAATATAAAACCCAACATTCTTGTATTACCGTTCCATTCCAAATTTACACCTTAGATGTTTGGATTTTATTCCGTTAAAGCACTTTCGAAGTATCTAAAGCATTTTCATACCTGTTTTATGTAGGTAAAACCATTCTAACGTAGTTGTTCAAGTTGAAATTTCATTTTTTTTTCCTGATTTTCTGAATTTTTAGGGGAAAACTGGCAGAGTTTGATATTTTTATTTAAAGTTTATAAATCCATTGAAATGTTTATTATGAAGGAACTTAATCATTCCCAACCCCTTTCTTAAGCGGGTAGATCACGTCGCTTTTTGGGTGTATGACTTTCTAATTCTTTTCATTAAAATTTAGAATTTTATTATGAAATAAACTACACTCTACTTCTCTACTCCATACTAGGTTTTTAACTCCTAAATCCAGTTACTTTATCATAAATATGTTAATCTTCTCCATTTCCGGTGGATCCCTCGCAGTGGGATAATTACGAGGGCCCATCAAGCTCCGGTTCTTGACGTGACCTTAACTCTTCGCGTATGTGTGTAAGGCACCTTCACCTTCTTTACAATTCTATAGTCGAAATTTTATGGAACTCCCACTATGCTAATAAAAATTCTAAATGAGTTTTTAAAAAGAAACGATAGTTTTTGCCACTGGACCGCCATTTATCGAACAGCGTGAGTTTGCGTCTCCGCTGTGACCTCTTGGGTGCCGCTGTTATCCTTCTGTATCGATTAATATGGATTTCCTACATCAGTGATGATGAGCACTGCTTATATTATTATGCATCCAAAAATCTTAAACTGTGGAAATTTAGTCAAACAAGAAAATATGATTTCACAGTCTAATGGACCTTCACAAACTATTCTATTATAACAAAATATACACTTTTTACAATACAATTGGTTTTCAAAAATCTTGAAATTTGGAAACTAACTTAAAAAATTGAAAACTCATCTAAAATTTTTATTTAGTGAGTTCCATAAAGTTCCGACTATAAAAATGGAAAAAAGGTGAGGGTGCCTTACCATGCGCGAAGAGTTAAGCACGTCAAAAGCCGGAGCCTGATCGGCCGTCGTAATTATCACACCACGAGGGATCCACCAGAAATGGAGAAGATTGACATATTTCATGGTAACTTACCTGGATTAAGGAATCGAAAACTTATTATGGAGTAGGAAAATGGAATGTATTCTTTTTTCTATTATAAAATTTTAAATTTTAATATAAAGTTTGAAATTAGAAAGTCATACACCCAAAAAGCGATATAATTTACCCGCTTGAGAAAAGGGTTGGGA